GTGCAAAGACCTACCTAGACCTCAAGGTACTCTTCTTGCAACAAGCAGGGTTTTAGGATGATAGGGACCTGAGCAGCACTTTGTTTAGGTGATCTTTGCATAGGAGCATTAAGTAGAGTAATCAAAATTAGTTCTATTTTCAGTTCACACTTCTGTGGCTGTAGAGCAGATAGGGTATTTCAAAAATGTTGCTGTGCTTTTATATGTATGTATGTGTCCATATGTATGTGTACATCTATGTGTATATTTCTTTGGGAAGTTGAATGTATCCTTCTCAAAGAGAAGCACTACTCTATACAAAACTTAATTCCTGTGCTTTATAAACTCTGATGAAGAGAGTGGAGTTTTGTTTTGGAAGAGGGGTTATTAAAACACTGAGAACAGGATACTCATTATAATAGATTTTATTCCATAAAATTTGATGGCTTTGATTCAAAGAAGGATATGTACTTTTGGACCATGTAAAATGTCACAATATAAAATTCTTAAAATTCCCGATCACTTGTAGGCTTCTAATTCATGCAGCTTTAAAAATAATATTCATGGTACAGTAACTCTCAGAAGCTTTGTCCTGACACAGTAAATATTGTTCAGTGATACATCTGGATACAGTGCTTGCCATAGAGACCTTACAATAATATGTGATTAAGATTCTATATTCTGTAATGTCCTGCAATTAGCAACCCAAATCCATTTTTCAAGGCCTTATTTGGAAACCTATTCACCCTGCAGGCTGCATAACATACTGCCATAACCTGAAATAGCCTGCGTCACTGAACTTGATTATGAAATAGACTAGGTAGAATATATGGCTTCATGTATGTTCCAGCAGAAGAAATGAATTCCCCTTTCAGAAAAGTGTTTTATTTGCAAAGCTGGATGTCTAGCTTATAAGTTCTTTCAGTATTGTTGGATGAGGCAACCAAAGAACTCTTTGTGGGACAGAATGAACTTGTGCAGAGTACCTGACCTTTTTCTAACAGCTCTACTGAAGAGGAAAGAGGATGCAAGTTTTGCCAGAGATTAAAATCTAAGTCAAACAATACCTTTGAGTGCTGGGTTAGTGGGATCTCTTCCCACTCAGTTGTTGGGATCTCTTCCTCACTTTTAATGAGTGAGGATGAAAAGAGGATAAAAGTGCAAATTTATTGAAGATACTTTGTTAATATACTGCTATATACCAACATACCATATACCATTAAAACCTGCAGATCACACTGAACAGTGAAATTTCTTTGGCCATGATTTGAGCATCAGTTCCTTCATAGATCTGGAGGAAATTTATGGCAGAAATTTTCTTACTAACTTTTTAATTGTTTCACTGAAATGCTGTGAAAAGAAAGTATTTGTAGCCTGACTTTTTAGACACATACGACTACTCTCTGTTTTTTTTTTTTTTTTTTTTCATTCTAATCCCCACCTGCATCCTGGTCAATATTCTGAACATTTTGGGTCTTTGTGACTAGGTCTGGCAGAGATGTCGCACTCTCAATAACTGGCTTGACACGTTGTGTGAAAACAGGCAGCAAGAAAGTAGATAACTTTAAAATGCTTGGGTTGCAGTAGGAGTTCCTGCAGTATTAAGCACCTTAGAGTTGACTCTAGCTATGGCACACACTAGTCGTAGGAAGTTACTGCTGTAGCTGCTCTGCTCACACAACTACTTCTTAAAAAATGAAATCTTTGCCAAAAACAACATGAAAACAAATGTAGAAACTTTAATTCTGGAATATGAATTCTGGTATGATATGCTTGCAATTTACAGATTTGACTTCAAAGATGTTATGTTATTAAGGGGAAGCATTAACTTTATTGGGTTTCTTAGAGCAACCATGAAAATCATGTGAAAATCAAAAGTTGGGTTTTCAGGTAGATGGGTGATTGAAAACAACAATCAAAGGAAAATCAGCAAATATTGAAATGGCTGAGGAAAGAAGAAAGCTGCATTAAAAGAACAGAAAACAAGTGTTTGTATACTTCATATGTAAAGGCTTTATATTTCAAGATGATTTATTTCTTATCTCCTGACTTAAAATTTTATTCTTCTTTTCAAACCTTACATTGTTGATCTGAAAAACTCAGAATTAGCCAACAGGATATTTTTATGTATTGTTCTATTTTAACTGTTTTGAGAGAGAAATTTTTGAATTTTGTGTGTTCTTCATTATGGTAGTTTTATAGTAGCAAGTAGGAAATAAGAAAAAAAGGATAAAATACTTCATCGTGGTACTGACTTTGCTTTGAAAACATGATGGAAAACATAGGAGGAAAACATAGGAAGCATGTCTTTTTACTTTTTATCTCTACTCTTTCTGAAAATTTAGTGAATAAGATGGCTTTCCCATGTAGCTTAAAGGATTGGTTATTGGTTTGCTTCTTTCCCGATGCCATCTTTGATCCCTTCTTCACCAAGTCAGAAGGATCACCAGTTCATTTGTTTTGGATCTGAGGAGTTCTTGTTTCTAACATTAGAAATTTTTGAAGGACTGATTTAGACACCAAAGAAGACAAACTTTGTTTGCACTGAAAATGGTGTGAACAGACTTGAAAAGCTGTTTCCAGGTGTACATGTTTAACACCATTTTTTATTGTGAGATCACCAGTTATTGTGCATAATACTAGGTTGAAATTTGACTATTCCGCTTAGATTTTTACTCTTTCAGGTACTAGACAAGACTCAGACCACTCTGCAAATAGAATATTTTATTTTTAAGACAAATTGTCTGTGATTGCTATTGCAGTAGAATTAGTGAATGATCCAAATAAAAATATTTTATAGAACTTCTTGAGAGCAAATCATATATTATTAGCTGCACCTTTTGGATGAGGAGCAGTATCAGAAAGGTATCATGTTTGAAAACTGCCATAGAAAACTTATGTAGATATTGCATATTATGTTCACTTCAATTGTTTTTATTGACTTCATCATTAGAAGTGAGGTTAGACTCACTCACATTTAGACATTTAACATTTAGACTTTAGACATAACATGACCCATAGACATGGGTGAGGATAAAGGGGCAAGCCAACAGGGGCGGCACGGTGGTGGAAGTTTACTACAGGCCTCCTGACCAGGACGAGGAAGTGGACGAAGCCTTCTATGGGCAGCTGCGGGAAGCCTCCCGATCACAGGCTCTGGTCCTCCTGGGGAACTTCAACCACCCTGATATCTGCTGGGAAAACCACACAGCCAGGAACAGACAGTCCAGGAGGTTCCTGCAGAACATTGCAGATAGATAACTTTTTGATGCAGGTGGTTGAGGAGCCAGCAAGGGGATGGGCGCTGCTAGACCTGAGACTAACAAACAGAGATGGTCTAGTGGGAAATGTGAGGGTTGGGGGCAGTCTGGGCTGCAGTGACCACGAGATGTTGGAATTCACCATTTTGCGTGGAGGATTAGGCGAGAAATAGGATTGCAACTCTGGACTTCAAGAGAGCCAAATTTGACCTCTTCAGGGAGCTCCTTGGAGCAGTCCCCTGGGCCAGGGTCTTAGAAGGAAAGAGAGTCCAGGAGAGCTGGCTAATATTCAAGCATCACCACTTCCTCCAAGCTCAGGGTCAGTGCATTCCCACAAGAAAGAAGTCGAGTAAGCGGGGCAGGAGACCTGTATGGATGGACAAGGAGCTGCTAGGCAAAGTTAACAAGAAAGAAAGAGCGTGCAGCATGTGGAAGAAGGGTCAGGCCACGTGGGAAGAATATAGGTGCATCATCAGAGAATGCAGATGTGAAATGAGGAAGGCCAAGGCCCATCTGGAATTAGAGTTAGCGAGGGATGTCAGGGACAACAGGAAGGGCTTCTGTAAGTGTGCCAGCAGCAAGAGGAAGACGAGGGAAAATGTTAGTGCACTGCTGAATGGGGAGGGGGCCTTGGTGACGGAGCACGTGAAGGCCAAGTTACTAAATGCCTTCTTCGTCTCTGTCTTTACTGCTAAGGCCTCTCCCCAAGAACTGCAGGGCTGAGGTGAAAGAGAGATAAACGGGTGAGAGGAAGACCCTCCACTGGTCGAGGAGGATTGGGTTAGGGATCTCTTTGGGAAACTGGCCACTCACTGATCTATGGGCCCCGATGGGATGCACCCAAGAGTGCAGAGGGAACTGGCTGAGGTTATTGCTCAGCCTCTCTCCATCATCTTCAAGAGGTCCTGGAGAGCAGGGGAGGTGCCCAAGGACTGGAAGAGAGCCAACATCACTCCAGTCTTCAAAAAGGGCAAGAGGGAGGAGGCGGGCAATTACAGGCCTGTCAGCCTCACCTCCGTCCCTGGAAAGGTGATGGAGCGGTTCATCCTAGAGAGAATCTCCAGGCATATGAAGGAGAAGTAGGTGTTGAGGAGCAGTCAGCATGGATTCACCGAGGGGAAGTCATGTCTGACGAACCTCATAGCCTTCTATGATGGGATGACAGGCTGGCTGGATGAGGGGAGAGCCATGGATGTTGTCTACCTTGACTTAAGCTAGGCTTTTGACACCATCTCCCATACTATTCTCATACAGAAGCTCCGGGAGAGTGGACTAGACGAGTGCACGGTGCGGTGGATCGAGGGCTGGCTGGCTGGCAGAGCTCAGAGGGTGGTGATAAATGGGGCCGAGTCCAGTTGGAGGCCCGTGGCCAGTGGTGTCCCCCAGGGATCAGTACTGGGCCCGGTCCTGTTCAATTTGTTCATCAATGACCTGGACGAGGGCACAGAGTGCACCCTGAGCAAGTTTGCGGACGACACTTGCCTGATCTGTAACTTTTTTTTTTGGGTGGCGAGGATAGGAGTCCAGTAAGAGGAAAGTGTCAAAAGTTCACTGATAATTGGGCAAGTGTTGATTTTAAGGTGAGTTTGGTGCCAAGAATCTTGATGAGCTTTCCTTTACTGAAAATAAAATAAGTTTCTGTCATGTGGTACTTTCAAAGTCTACGATGAGTTTTAGTAATTGAAACAATCATTATATTGAATATACTGTATGAAATATTGATATAATCTTAATATAATTCTCTCTATTTCTGTTTTCCAGGAGAAGCTGATGTGGATTGGTCCATCAGTAATAAAGATGTGGAGGTAACACAGACAACCGAATTATTCTGTAATTTTTTATTTTAGATCCATTCATCATACATAGAAAAACAATGAAAAGATATGGAAAATATCTTTGTAAATAATTTTTGCATTTCTCTGTGCTTTATCTGAAGAAAAGTTACAGGAGGGAGAATAATCCAGTGGTAACTCTCAAGTCTCCTTATCTTCAAACAGGCATAATATCTATTCTTGATAGCAGGGCCATTTTTCACAGCAGCCAATTGTGATGCCAGAAATGGATGATCGGATATGAAGTGGGCAGAAGGAATAGATTAACTAAAAATGGAAGTCATTCATGTAGTTACTAATAACAGGAAAAGGAGAAAAATGGAGAAGGGACTAATTGGGTGGTGATAAATGGGGCCGAGGAGAAGAGAAGGCTGAGATGGGATCTGATTAATATGTTTAAGTACATGAAGGGAGAATGTAGGGAGGCAGGGGCCAAGCTCTTCTCAGTGGTGGCCAGTGACGGGACGGGCGGCAGTGGGTGCAGCGGCAGTGGGCGGAGTTCCATCTTCAGGTGAGGAGGAACTTCTTTCCTGTGAGGGTGCCAGAGCCCTGGAACAGACTGCCTAGGGAGGTTGTGGAGTCTCCTTCTCTGGAGGTCTTCCAAACCTGCCTGGATGCTGCCCGGTGCCCCATGTTCTGGGTGACCCTGCTGGAGCAGGGCGTTGGACTAGATGATCTCTAAAGTTCCCTTCCAGCCTCAACCGTTCTGTGATTCTGTGAGTCCAGTTGGAGGCCTGTGGCCAGTGGTGTCCCCCAGGGGTCAGTACTGGGCCCGGTGCTGTTCAACTTGTTCATCAATGAGCTGGACGAGGGCACAGAGTGCAACCTGAGCAAATTTGCAGATGACACCAAGCTGGGTGGAGTGGCCGACATTCCAGAGGGCTGTGCTGTCATCCAGAGGGACCTGGACAGGCTGGAGAGTTGGGCAGAGAGGAACCTCATGAGGTTCAAGTGCAGGGTCCTGCACCTGGGCAACAATAACCCTAGGCATCAGGACAGTTTAGGGGGTGACCTGCTGGAGAGCAGCTCCACGGAGAGGGACCTGGGAGTCCTGGTTGACACCAAGTTAGCCACGAGGCAGCAGTGCCCTCGTGACCAAGGGGGCCAGTGGGCTCCTGGCTGCATCAAGAGGTTGTTGCCAGCAGGTCAAGGGAGGGGACCTGCCCCTCTACTCAGTTCTGGTGAAGCGGCAGCTGGGGGCAGTTCTGGGCTCCCCAATATAAGAGGGATGTGGAGCTTCTAGAGAGGGTCCAACAACCCTCTGTAGAATGATTAAGGAACTGGAACATCTCTTGTATGAGGAGAGACTGAGTGAGTCGGGCCTGTTTAGCTTGGAGAAGAGAAGGCTGAGAGGAGATATGATTAACACGTCTAACTACCTGAGAGGAGAAGGTAGGGAGGAGGGGATCAAGCTCTTCTCAGTGGTGGCCAGTGACAGGACATGGGGTAATGGGTGCAAGTTGCAACACAGGAAGTTCCATCTCCATATGAGGAAGAACTTCTTTCCTGTGAGAGTGACAGAGCCCTGGCACAGGCTGCCCAGGGTGGTTGTGGAGTCTCCTTCCCTGGAGGTCTTCAAAACTTTCCTGGATGCATCCGGGTGCCCCGTGCTCTGGGTGTCCCTGCTGAAGCAGGAAGGTTGAGCTAGATGGTCTTTAGAGGTCCCTTCCAACCTTAACCATTCTGTGATTCTGTGATGCCTATATACAATATATACCTACTGCTATTGCTTAAACTCATTCTCCTTTCTTCAATATTTGTAGGCTTCTTCCTTAAAAAAAATGACAAAATTAATTGCAACTTAGAGTGACTTTTCTAAGGGATTGTCTAATATGGAATTTGCTGCTTCATATTTCATCTAGCAGATGGTTCCTTTTTCTACACACCCTAAATCTGTTTTGTCTTATACCTTTGTTTTTTTCGCCGTAGTGAAGAAATGCAGTCCAGTATAAACATTAGTTGTTTTGTTAGATTAGGCCAAAACACTGTTCTGGATGCTTGTTGTTTTTTTTCTGAGTAAGCATGAAAATAATCAGAACGGTGAAGACCAAAAGTTCATCACAGCCTAGAATCCTTCTTCTCACTGCTAGATGTCCAGGGAAGAATAGAAGAACATTGAAAGCATGCAATGATTGTTTCCCATTATATTTTTCTTATTTTCAGGAATTTCATGAAAAACAAATGTGTTGGAGTATCTTTGCACTTGAATATTTTTAATTTCATAGATTTGTAACAAGTGTGTTTAATGCATCCTGTGGTGTAGGATTCCACAGATTCTACAAAAAAAAGCTAACTTCTGTTTGTTTGAAGCTTTTCACACAATGTTATACTTTGATTTAACCTCTGGTTCTAGTACTGGGCAAACACTTAGATAAATGTTGGTTTTAGGCTGAAAAATGCTACTTTTCATGTTTGATCCTCATTAAGGAAGTCATTTCATACCTTTGAGCATCTGGCAGGTATTCATTTTCTAGTTCTGCTATAACATTTTTAAGACGAAGGTTCAGAACTTTAGGTAGTGTTCAGAACAGATGTATGACATGGATTTATAGCATAGATAACATTTTTGTTTGTATTCTTCTTTAGAATAAGCGTAGATAACATTTTGTTTGTATTCTTCTTTATCTCTTTCCTAAGAATTTTTGTTTGTCTTTTAAAGCTCCTGAGCACTAACCTTACACTTGTTATCTTCTGTTTGCTCTAATGTACCTTTCTTTTACTTTCTTCCTGTGTCTCTGCTTCTTCTTCCATATTTGCATTCCTCTATTAAGAACAATATGTAGCTATTATCCATAGCTTCTTTCTGAAAAGGAGGTTCAAGCTAAACAATATAAACTGCATTGAAAAAAATATCTGTAATTTTTCTCTAGAAGTCTTAATAAGGTACAGAAGCTGTTAAAAGCTGATAGAGTAGGAAGAAGTCTTTGCTACGTAAAGACTTCCTCCAAAATTGTTTTGGAAGAGGTTGAGAGGAATGAGAGCTCCTCCAAAGAAGAGTTCAGCATTCCATAACAATGAACTTAATTCATCCTGCTCAGACTCTTCAGAGACTAAAAGTTACAGGCTGCATCTCAGATCTTCTGTGCTTAGTAGCCTTCTTGCAGTTCCAGAAACTGGGGTCTGTGTAGTGATTGGTACAATTAGTCCTGAAGTATGTGTGTAAGCTGCTCAAATATCCAAAATTCAACTGGATTGTCCCACTCTTTCTAATTTTGGTTTCCAAGGTCTGATAAAGCTTACATAATCAGATGACATTGTCTCTTGTTTAAGAGAAATGTTCTTGTGTACCATATCTGTTCACTTATCTGAAATGTTAAGTAATTTTTTAAAAACTATGGTGTTTACTAGGTGATAAAAGTTTTGCTAGGTGATAAAAGTTCAAGAGAGGATTTATGGTTGTCAGAGGATTTTCAGATTTTCAGAGGATTTTCAATTTATTGGAAGAGATTGGTTTCCAGCTTCATACTCTCTCTCTCTCTCCCCCTCTCTACCTCTTTTCTAATTTTATTATTGTAAATTGCAGATTAGGTCTACACTTCTATAACATTGTGTTTTACCAAAATATTTCCCTAGTTTGTTCAGGAAACTTATACTTTGCACTTCGCAGTTAATGTTAGTTATATTTGCATCGTGGGAAAATATCAGTTCATCATGAAACAGCATAGTGAATGAAAATGTCTGAATCCTGTTGAGGGAAAGCAAAACTTAAGAGTTGCAATTCTAAGCTGCAAAAAGTAATGCTCCAAAATGGAAATTGGAACAGGGCAGTATTTTTTTCCTAGGCAATTCAAGCTTCTCTAGAACAGAATTAACCTACTGAAGCCAGGATACATAAATTGTGTTTGTAAAAGATGGGATTTCTAGCTGAACACTACCAACAGTGGCCCATTCAAATTTCCAATTCTGCCAAGCGGTAAACCGTACAGTCAGAAATGATCAATGTGTTTTTCTCTCTTTGTCTCCTCAGGCGCAGATATGTAACTATGCAACTATGAGGCGTACAAATGTCCGATACTACACAGCTGATAAAAATGTTACCTGTAGAAATTGCAGTAAACCAGGTCATTTGTCCAAAAACTGTCCTGTTCCAAGGGTAAATCCAATGTTTCATTTACTGTAACATGTAGCTGTTGTTTCCAAAGCTCTTTCGTGCTTGCCATTAGAACCTGCTTGTTTGGTGGTTTATTATTTAACTGAAAGTTTGCTCTAGGCTGAAGGAAATATTATCTTGCACTAGACCAGTTTACTTCATAAAATGATCTGCCTTGTGAAGATAATTCAGAAGGCAGAATTCACTGTTGTCATTTCTATAAATGAAAAAAAAAATCTGTAAGTATACATGGAACATAACTACATAGTTTTTTATATTGTAAAAAATAGTTTTAAGGTAGAAAAATATTTTGAATTTATTTTCCATGAGGAGAGCCTAAGGAATCCAAAATCACCCCTAGCAAATGAATTAAACAAGAATAAGTGATAAAGCTGATAAAATGATAAAGTTTTAGGCAGGATGAAATCAAAATTATTGTCAAGCAATCCTGGTATGCCAAAAATTTTGAAATTTTGTCCAGAGACTAATGGTTGAAAGAACATCATAATCCCTTGAGGAAATTACAACAGTTGTGTGAGAGTCAGGATTTACTCATCCCTCCAATAAAGATTTCAAAAATTCACCTCTCAGTTTCTAAGGCAGTTCCCCACACTGACAATTGGAATATTTCAATATAGAGCAAATTTCTCTGTGATTACATCTCACCCTGTGGAAATGTCACCCTTAAAGTGATGACACACTCAGTCACTGAGGAAATTGGCCCTAAGCAGATGCAATTATCTGCCCAAGAATAATTTTCAGCAGTTTACATCTGTTGCTTCATGCAAGCACTTATGTTCTTTAAGGCACAAGGCAAGTGCCTTGGAGGTCTATAGCACAGACCATATTTATAAATCACCTCCATACCTTGTGTTGCATACGGTACAACTTTTTGCTGTGATATGGTTCTATTTATAAGCTTTCAAGAAATATCATAAAAATAGAATTCATAGAGTGTCTAGCACTTATATTCTCTGTAAAATATGCCATCAAATTTAATACTACTTTTTGTTGTATTCACTGAGCAGGTAATGTGAGGACATGAAACGTTTTCAGTGCTTCTAAAGTCAAAATCAAGAGGAACACTGAATTTGTAAAGTTTGAACATCAAGTTTCACTCTTTTCACTGTTTTACACTAGTATTTCATCATGAAATATAATACATATGCAGGAAGGAGCAGACTCTTTTTTGTAGTGATTTCTTCTTTTCTTCATCTTTTTTTTTTAATTTTTTCCTTAGTCCACTGAAACATATTCACTTACCATACTTCTTTTTGTATTTCTCCATAGAAAATTCCCCCTTGTTGTTTGTGTGCGGAAAGAGGTCATCTACAAAACGCTTGCCCAGCGCGATTTTGTTTGAACTGCAGTTTGCCTGGACATTATTCTAAGGAGTGTCTTGAGAGAGCCTATTGGAATAAGCACTGTAACCGCTGTGATATGAAAGGGCATTATGCTGATGTGAGTATCCCTTATTGCAAAGGGCATTATGATGATGTAAGTACAGCCTATGGCAAAGAAGTCATTCACTGCTGTTTCTGTATCTGTTAAAACTGGAAACTACAACAGCCATAATATTTTTATATTGCATATTGCATAAACATACGACAATGTTATAGCTAATGCTTACACAGCACAGAATCACAGAATAGTTGAGGTTGGAAGGGACCTCTAGAGACCATCTAGTTCAACCCTCCTTGTCCAGCAGGGACACCCGGAGCACGGGAAACCCGGTCACATCCAGGTGGGTTTGGAAGATCTCCAGAGAAGGAGACTCCACAACCTCCCTGGGCAGCCTGTTCCAGTGTTCTGTCACCCTCACAGGAAAGAAGTTCTTCCTCATACAGAGATGGAACTTCCTGTGTTTCAACTTATACCCATTGCCACTTGTCCTATCACTGGCCACCATTGAGAAGAGCTTGACCTCTTCCTCCCAACAGGAGAAAGGGCCTCCTCGCTTTAGGTACTTATACATATTAATCAGATGCCCTCTCAACCTTCTCTTCTCCAAAGAAGATGCTGGGTACAATTCCATTGGCCTTAAAGTGGAGCTTACCAAACCCAGAAGATGGTAACACTGAAACCGCACACCGAAGACAAACAGAAAGAAGCAAGCAAAACCAACCAGAAAAAAGAAGTTCGGGTAGTTCAGTTAATTTCTGGCCCCTTCAGGTATTTATACATATTAATCACATCCCCTCTCAACCATCTCTTCTCCAGGCTAAACAGGCCCAGCTCACTTAGTCTTTCACAGAGTCAAAGGCTAAGGTTGGAAGGGACCTCTAGAGATGATCTAGTCCAACCCGTCCTGCTCCAGCACCACACCAAGAGCATGTGGTACACGGTGGCTTCCTGGCGGGTTTTGAAGACCTCTGGAAAAGGAGAATCCAGAGCCTCCCTTGGCAGCCTGTGCCAGGGCTCTATCACCCTCAATGCTGTATTTAGATTTAATTTTTCATAAATAAATTAATAAGTAGCTTTGTCATGATGAAAACAGAAGCAAGTATTAAAATTGTTCAGTTATTCTAAGGATGACAAGGTATGTTTTAAAAAGTAACTTAGATTAAGGATTTTTTTTTTTCATGTGATGTTCATTTTGGAAGAAACTGGGAAGCTTCTGTGCTGAAACTTTGTTTTAAAATGTTGCGGAGGGAGTCATCAGAGAATCTCCTTAAAATTAAAAAGCTGAAACTAACACTAACCAGTTAACAGGACTGTATAATAGTTATCAAAAAATTGTGAAGGAAATGAATGGTGAGAGAACCAGATTATTGAAGATAGTATGTAACCTCTTTCTTTATAGATGATTTGTAAATGAGAGGCAAATGTAAAAATATTTAAATCAGGTCTGGGAAGATTTTAGTAATCATGTCTTGCACCCTGATGTTTATACGAAGAAAATCAGTAAGAACAGTAGCAATTGTGAAATGGTTGTAGAATTCTTGTAAAACTATTCTTGGGCGGATCCACGATGGCTTTTGTGAAAATCCCGCTTCTCAAATCTCTCTAATTATTCAAAGGAGAAGGTCAATAAGCATGTGTGTAAACATGATCTGGCTGACATAATCTACAGTTTCCAAAAGGAGTTTGACAAAGTTCCTGACCAAAAGCTGTTAAGCAAACTAAACCACCAGGAAATAAGAGGATAAAGGTACAAGGTTTGTACAGATAAATGTTTTGTTAAAAGGTAAAAAAATGGAGAGAAAGTCTTTCTTGCAGTGGCATTCTAGAGCTCTATGTTGTTCAATATATCCATCATTATGTGGATAGAGGTGAGCAAAAGGGTGACAAAAATGGAATATGTGTGGAGTTAGGCAAGATAATGATTAGAAGGCAAGTTGCTCAGGCTAGCAAAGAGTAGTTTAGGCTAGCTAACTGTGAAGAGTTGCATAAGGATTGAAATAGATGAATTGCAATAAAACGGCAGAGAAAAAAGAACAATACATTTAAAGTGATATGCATGGGAAAAAATCCAGTTGTGCTTATGAAATAGTGGGCTCTGAGCAAGCTATTATCCCTCAGGATTAAAATTTTGAATTATGAGACATGTTTTCTTAAAATACCAGTTCAGTGTTCATAAATTATGGAAAGTTCATAAGTTATGGAAGTTCATAAGTTATGGAAAAAGATGGTCAAGTGAAGAATTATCAGGAAAGCAATATGGAAGGAGTTGCATTTTTGTTATTTTGCATCCTTCAGCACATGATCAAGTTAGGTAGATCTGTTCAGCCTGGAAATGAGCTACAGCATCCACGAGAAGGCCAAAGCCTCAGTGATTAATTGTTCACTGTTTCTTCTTGTAAACAAATCAGTGAGCATGCAGCAAAGGTGGATCTCCACATTGATGCAACCCCATGCAACATCTTCTAGGTGACCCTGGTTGTGCAGAGGGGTTGGACTCCAGAGTCCAACCTCAACTATTGCGCAATTCTCTAGTAGGAGCTGCTTTTTGTAAAAGATGGGAGCAGACAATTTTTCATGCAATAGGCAGCAGACCTCTGAAGCTTCTTATCAGGGGGTGTAACAGATGCAGGAAGACTGAACCATTTCATGAAAGAGGAATTTGATGAAGCTTAACAGATAGCAACTGCATCTAGCTTGGAAGGTTATTGAGTTGGTAATGAGTGGAATGTGTGGAAGAGAACTGGGGGAAATATGCGTGTGTGTTTTGTTCTTTAAATCCATGAGGCATTGTCCTATGGCCACAGTTAGAGATCATGACAAGAGCTCACCTAGTATAGCAGAGTTTCATCTTCTGTTAATTGCTCATAATCATAGATCTACATGTCTTTGCCTCTGTTATGGTCAGTAAAGAATCATGAGTCTCCAGCAGGGTATTTTATCATTGTTTGCCAAGCCTGGTAATTGTGGCTGTTTTATATCAGTTGTGTGCTTCTGCTGTCCATGTGAACTGGAGACACCATAGCTTTCAATCTGATCTTGATGTTAAATTACTCCAAGGAAGTTCTCCAGAATGCTCTGAAAACTCTATTGTATCCTTCATAAAGCTAATTGATTTAATATTGATTTCAAGAAAATAAATTTATTATCCACTAGGTTTGTCATTTTCCCTGAAATAACCTTGAGAATCTACAGGCTCATCTTGAGATTCTGAGTCGTACTGGAATCAGCTTAGTACAGTATGATGCCATCAAATAGAAGAACAGTAACAAAAAGAAAGATATTTAGCAGAGTTGTTCACAGTCACAGATACAGGTCTATTTGGCCATATGCTACTCACTCTAGTAGGCAGCACAAGCAGACTGCAAAATCACTGTCCAGTGTTGAATATGTGTATGAATATATATGTGTATACATAAACATATATGAACCCTCGTATATATTCACATATATGTATGCTGAAAACCTCCAAATGTTAACATTCCAGATGTTAACATCCTTCCAGATACAGCAACTGCTCAGATATGTGTCACGACTTACTGAGATCAGTGATCTCAGCAAATTACTTCTCTCTCATTAGGTGCATCTCTGTTTTCCTGGGAGTGATTAGCTTGTTTCCCAAGAGTGGTGTACCTAACTATCTGTAATTTTTTTCTTCTAGAGCCTTCCACATTAAGGTAATTTTTAAAATTTATTTGAATTTTTAAAATCTGTTTTTTAAGAAAAGTTATTTAGGAAGAATGACGTATTGGTTTATATATTTATTGTTATTTTTATGTAGGATTATGTATGATTATTATATATGATGTGCTTCAGATGGAATGAAAAGGATAATACTTAGGATTTATGTAGTTAGTATCTGAAGCTATAATGCCATTGTTCTGAAGAGATCTACAGAAATAAACTGTACCAGGGCTGAATAGCAGAACTCTTGTGAACCTCCGCTCCTGTGGGAGTGGAAGAAAACGTTATGAATAGGACAGTTTGTCAATGGATACAAATTGATAGAGAGAGCAAGATTTTCTTCTATAGTTTGGAGGGGGAAACGACAGTGTACAGAAATTCTTTGGATTGCCTGCCCTTATCCTTTGAGTTAGAAGTCTCTGGTCTCCTGAGTTCTTTAACTGTATTATATACCTGCTGGCACTTTCGCATAAAGACATAACTGCAGACTTCTAGTGCATCTTCATAAAAAAATGGAAACACATCTCAGTAGGCAATTTCTTCATTTATCTTGGCATCTTTTTAGTCATTGTAAACCATCCTTAGAGTCACTTCCCTCAGAAGATTTCTTTTTTTGCCTTTGTCATTTTCAAAACATATACTGTCAAGCACTTAACATTAATGATATGCCAGCATTTGAGGGATTGGATGTAGCTCTCTAAATATGGAAGCTGAAGTGGCTAAAAGTCTGTGAATGTTCTGCTGCTGGTGCTGTGATTGGATGTTTTCCCTTCAGTTACATTATGTGCTCTCATTCATTCTTCTCTTTTTTTTGTAGAATCTCCTCAAAGAAAGCAATAGTTTTGCCCGTTTTTTGATGTGACTTCATTCCCTCAGTGACATTTATTTCATGCCTGCTCCTAACTAAATTTCTGCTTAATTGTAAGCATATGTAAGCATTACAAAGATTCTTTTTAATCCCTGTAGTTAAACACCTTAATTCTGTTTGAGGTGCCAGGAGAGTATGGTCATGTGAGGCTTATTATTAGGGAAGACTCCTTGCTTTTCTTTGTTTAAGAATGCTTTTGAATTGAAGCATTTTAACATTTTTTTTTCTTTTTTTTCTAGTTGTTTTTATTAAAAACAAAACAACAATAGCAAAAAAAACAGAGAAAGGGTAATGAAAAATGTTTGTTTTATTAAATCTTTTGTTTTCCTGCGGCGACTTGCATGGGGGCAGCTCCTAACAGCCGCCGCTTTTGACAAAGCACCAGAGGATTCTGTTAAAAAGTTGTGTTTAGTAATTGTAGTCGTCGTGTCAGACCATAACTGACTTGGAGCTGAAGGATTTTTGTGAGATGAGTAGCTGTGCCAGCAGGGACCCAAGTCTCCTGGGCCAGCCGCGCTCTCATTAAGATTTGCCGCTAGCCGTGGCGGTGTTCGGCAAGTATGTGACGTGCATTCTGTTATTGTATGCTTGGCTTGTCAGCCTGCAGCTTTCTGACACTCACTTATGTCACTCTTTATTCAGAGAGGAAGAAGCTTTTGATAATTTGACAAGACAAGCTCTTAAACGATCTAGGTCATGGCCTTCACTGTCTGTGATTGTGAACATATTTCCTGAAAGCCCTGTCACTCATCACAGCTACATTTTCTCCCGGGGAGCCATAGGCCCGTCCCGGTCTCTTGTCAGCTCATACATTTTGGTTATTCATATACCAAATACAGTAGTGGTGTGTGTGTGTGTGTGTGTGTGTTTTTTTTCCCCTTCACTTTTGCAAATGCTAGCATGTTAGTAAGGCTAATCCTTTCTCCTGTGCTGTGTTCCCAGCAGGGTTGTGTTCAAGGGTTCTCTCTAGTACAAGGCAGACAACTGGCCAAGGGGAGCTGAAAGGGAGGAAAGGCCGCTTAGTGCTGTTTTTGTGTTTGTTCATTGTTGTGGAAATATGAGAACTGGTGGCAAGGGCCTTGTCTATTGAACACTTGAGTCTTGGTCTGCTGTCAGGGGCTGTTTAAGATTGAGTGTTTTATTTTCTTTGATGTTCACATTTGAGAATAGGGAAGTGGGAATTAAACAACAGATGCATTAAGCCGTTGTTCTCGTAAAACAATAATTAGCACCTGATAAAATTCAATATGGGTTGAAATGCACAATATACTGGCTTGATTCATCTGGTGTGGCAGACTTGGTTGGTTTGTGTTTGAATAGTATTAACAATAACTATTTCAAATTACTCAAATATGCATTACAATAAAAATGATATTAATTTTGAGAAAAAGAATTTTGCAGAATATAGAAGAGGCACACAGGTGGAGTTGAAGATATTGGAAAGCATACTTTGTTTATGTTTTGTGAACATAAAGCAGTGGTGGCACTGCTTTTAATAGTAGACACCTTTTGTGTTTATACATCTAAATGCTAGTAAGGTCAGACCACTGGGGCAAGAAATAAATGCAACTTTATTTTAATGTAGTTCATCATCACACTACCATCATACTTGTATACTGCAAGAGCTTTTCTTTAAATGAGGGTCATTCATGGTTAAGTACTTTTAAATAAATAAGAAAAATCACAGATTCAGTTGTTGTTGTATTTGGTTACGCTGTCTTCCATAACAAAGCATTTTACTTCATTTGAGAAGCCAGTATTTGGTGAAATTGTTAATTATAATTTTGTCATTCCATAATAAGAGATACAGACAATAGTTCTGAGTTGATGCAAAGCAGTAAGATTACAAGTTAAAAGCGTCATTTTTAAAAGACTGTTGTTTAGCCGCTCCACAACCATTTTAGTTGTTATATTGTGTTGTACTTCTGAAATTATTTTAGTGATCACCTTGATTATGAGAAATATTACATTGAATAACTGCCTGAAGGAAGAAATATACTTGGCCCGTTTTCCTTTGGCTTCCTCTTCCTGTCTAGGTTAAGTTTTCCTACAGCCTTAAAACAAGCTTAAATATGATAATAATAAAACCTTCCTTTTGATAGTATTTCTAGTGTTTGGAAATGTTCCCCTTTGATTATTTTGTTAAAAACTCTGCCAACTGCAGTTTTCTATTCTAAGTTATAGATTTTTTCCATAACTTATATATTATGTCTGGATTAAAAATAAATAAATAAACCAACAAACTATTAAAAAATCAAGTGTTTATTAGATAGGTGCTGTGTAAGTAAAGGTCAAATGGCAGAGTGGCATTTTGCCAGTGTATGACAACTCATTGATTGTGATTTTTCAACCATATTAGTCAGGGGACACTGTGGTAATCAAAAACTATCCAGAACTAATGTATAAATAACTGCCTGCTACCCCTGCACTAAACCAGCTAAAGTGTTGTGTACAGTTGCAGTCCTATTTGGCTTTGAGTAAGAAGGCATTCAGAGGAGAAAGCTTATGTATTACATTTGAGGATCCTTTGCAAGGACCAACCTAGATTCCACTTTGGCAACAGAAGAAAATCCTTTTGTTTGCATTCCAAGACAGTTTTCTTATAGAAATCTTAATGTAAAACTTAAATATTTACTTGCAGTATTTGAGTAAGAGGAGATATATAGAACCATTGCACAGAGCAGATTGTAGATTTTTCTTGTAGAAAATTGTATTACTGACAGAATGAATAATAAATAATATAATTTCCATCACATCCAGGGAAAACGTACTGTATATGCCGGAGGGTGACTGTCAGAAATTCAGATTATTTTTGAGAGATTGTATTGCTAATATTGGTTGTTGTTGCTTTTTTTATTATTATTGCTATTTTTAATTAGCATGCTATATCATATAAAAGAAGGGAAGAATTTAGGCATGAGATGAAAAATTGTCAAAATTGTAAGAAATGTTAATAACAATTTGCAAGTATTCATGAGAATTCTGTATTTGAAATTAGAGCTAAAATATGTTAAATAGAAATGATAGAATAACTAATATTTCTCCATATGATACAAAAAGGTGAGATTGACAAACCATGTTTGTAATTGTTCAAATAGTCGAGAAGTTAATTTACTGTGTTCTAAACAAAACTAGAAGACCTTCACAGAAATAAGTGTGTACACATGTTCTCAAATGCTAACAGAGAAAGTGTAGCTGTAACTGTTCAGAATTTGAGGCAGAAGTATAGAAGCAGGCAGAAATAATGTTAATTTTGTTAAAATATTAAAAAATATTGAGAAAATATCTCCTGTCTCACAGATCATTAACACACTCTTATTTTGTTGAAGATGTTTCACATTTCCTCTTTCCTGTCTCTTACATATTCTTCTGGTATATTGTGGAATAGTTGTGACTGAAAATCTGCTCTGTAAAATTTATATTGCAGTGAACTGAAATTGCAAGTTTGTGTGCAAGATTGGCCAGGTAAAAAAAAAAAAGAAAAAAGAACAAGAAAGCCATTGTAAAAATAGAAACATTATAGCAATCTGTTATGCTCCTTGTTTACAACTCATCTGACATGAGGCTACTAAGGATTATTACATGTAACAATTATATTTTGATTAGGATAGAGATATGTGCAAAAATAATAAAATGTTTCTGTTCCTTCCTTAAAGGAAAGTACCCTATGATTTAATTTCCAAAGCACTTTGTAAATTTACAATTTTAGAATATTAGAATTTCAATTTTTTTTTTATTTTACAATATTAGTACTTCTTAGAGTTAAGGGCTTGTTATTCTTCCCAACTTATAACCTTTAGAGAAGAAAGGCAGAGAGAAAACTGTTACTGGCTTTCTGACAATGGCAGGGAGTGTGTTAAACCAGTGTAAAATTCAATTAAACTGTCTAGCCAGGTTTTTGAAGCTGAAATGCAGACCCTTTCAGTTAAGCTTCTTATTTTCCTGTGACCGACACCGGTGGATACTGTGTTATGCCAAAACCAACAGGCTGTAAAGCACCTTGTTTCATGCTCCTAGCTGATCAATATTTTTATTTTCCAGGCTTGCCCAGAAATATGGAGGCAGTATCACCTAACAGTAAGTAGAAACACCTTTTTTATTTTCTTCTACACCCAGTCTATTTACTCTTCTGTGAACTGCTGACCATAAAATATTGACATGTATTTTCTGCAAGAAGATAATAAACATCTGAAGAGTTTTTGAACTGAAAAATGCAACAAAACACTGTCACTATTTTTTAAACATATTTAGAACTTCTGATTTGATTTTAATACTAAAACCATTACATGCATGTCTTGCAGGATACTGCCCTTTAAGTGGCTAAATTTACTGTACACATGTAAGAAGGTTAAATTTTAACTCGAGTTATATAGTAGAAGCAATGGTCCCATCTCACATATCCTAGATTCTGCTAACTATTCCATATATACAAAAAAAGCTTTCATTTTAAATAACAAAAAGTATTTTAGTTAATTTTATAAATAAATATTACAAAGTTTTGTAGATAATTTTTGGTCAGCGAGAAGACTTCTAACTCCTTTGGCCTGTGTTAGTTGATCCTTATTCATTTAAAAAACAAAAATAAATTTACTGAAGTGCAGCATTTTAATATTAGAGCTTTTTTATCAGTACAATAGAGATGAAAATAAAGCAAGATACTTATGTTGAAAGAATAGTTCTACAAAATCATGGATTTATATCACAAAGCTTTAATGTATTACTTTTAGAAACAATTATAAATCATGTTCTTTAAGATGAGGGCTTTTTTGTTCAGATGAATATTTTCTCTCAGAATTATCCAAATCAGGGTTACTGTTGAGTAATGAGCTTAACTGTTAAATAGTAGTAGTAGTTACATCTAGAAGACAAAGTAATAAAGTTTGTCCACAACTTTTTGTTTCAATTCCTTGGGGTAGATTTTTCCAATTAAATAATAAATGTTAGAAATATTTTCTAATCTGTCACCCTCACCAAGTATTGGAGTACTTTTTTTAATTCTTCTTCTGATCCTAAATTTAATTTTAATGAAAACTCTGTGATAAGACTTTTTCTTTTGTCCTTTCTTTTTTCATGATTTTAAAATAAGCATCTCCTTTGGAAGTCTTGTGTTTTTTCTGAGCAGATACTTTTGTCTTTAGCTGGATTGGTATAGACTTTGTAAAAAACAATATGAGCAATCGGTGCACTTAGTCTTTTTCTTAAATGCATGAGAGAAAACGCTAAATATTTTCTTTCACTATAAGCAGGAGTATGTGTAGAGATGATGTCTAAAGGATTTATGGTATTGAGCATCTAATAATGAGATAGGCATATTAGGTGAAATAATACGATGAAATTTATTTTTTACCAGTCTGTAAAATTTAATTTTAATCTTCCTTTCCATCAAAAATTCTTCAAAAAGTGAGTTACAATCGATACTGCAAAATATGTATTTTTTTAAGTATGAAGGAACTGATTCTTTCAAGGAGTTAGCATGAGGTAAAAAATTTTAGCAGTGAATGCTTAAGAAAGTGTTCTGACTTTCTCCTTTCCAAGTGTAGAACTAACATTTGTCAAAACAATTCAATAGAAAATTGAATTGTTAGGAATACAATTTATGAATAAAAGTATCTATTTGCAGCTTTTAGTGCTTTTCGTGGAGTATTTTGAAACATGGTTAATATAGACATACCATGATAAATATAGCTTCTCATTTCTGTTAAAGGAATTTTTGTTTTCAATAAAGTCCAGATGATCTGCTGATAATCCCAGTTTGGAGTATTTCAGAAATACTTTGAATTTAACCATTGAAATTCACTTTGGCTTGGGAAAACTAACTTTGATTCAAGTTGAGTTACAGATGGATTAAAAGTAGAATTGTAAATTTGAGTAGTAAAAGTTATACTTGATATTTAAAATGTTGTACTACAAGAAACATATTTTCCAAGTAGTTTAAATGTTTGAACTCTAGCTTTTATTTTTCCATTTACGTATGCTTTTTGACACTCAAAATAGAAAAGAAGTAAATGATTTTCATTGCAGTAATATAAATTTCTGTATAGAAAAATATATAATGTATCTATTATATATTTATTATAATACTGTAACCAGGAAGTACTTTTATATCAGCATAGTGGTATTTCAATACAGAAATTATTTTAAAATTTCCTCAGTTTAGACCTAATATTTCTGCACAATGGGGCAACTATTCAATGAAAAATGGAAGAACTGAGAAAGAATGATTATGTCTGTTACTTTGCTCTATAAGATAACCTGTCCAGAGCAATCAGACTAAACACTAAAACGAAATTTTTCTATGCTTAAATTGTAGACTCAAACTAGATTTAATTTGATTGTGGTAAACTGACCGTGAGTATCACACATACAGACACCTATGTGCACACACAAAACAATGCATTCAGGTTTGTAATAAAACACACTTTTATTATACTATTTTAAAACAGCCATTGCAAAGTCTGTCTAAATACTTGTGTATTATTTAAAGTGTTCTTTGTTAATTACTGCAAATGCTTGTTAAAAACAACATTTCATACTTTCTCTTTGTGAAGCTTTTGGTGATTTTATTCATTCTCTGGCTCTTTCCTAAGAGATGGACTGCCATCTATTGACTCCTTACGGCCTCTGCACTGAAACGTAGATTCGCCACAAACAATGACCAAATAATAAATCTATTCTGTTGTTATGAATGGTAGTTTTTTGTTTGTTTACACTAGTATGATGGCAATTTTTGACACATTACAAATACTTTGTAATATGGGAAGAAATGTCTTGTTCTAACAAAAATGGATTGCCAGTAAAAGAAATCTTTTTCAGCAGTTGAAATGGCAAAAAGGATTATAAGCAGATTATTTTAATTTATTCTTTGATAGGAAAAAGATAATCATATTGTATTCAATGAAGCTTAAATTTAAAGGCTCTATAATAATCAAGACTTTATAACTAGATTAATTTAGTTCCTTCAAACTTGTTCTTTCAATTATGTTAACTAAAATTCCCCTCCAAAAAAATCAAAATCAGAACAATCCAATTCCCACTGTATGTTAAAATAATATTTAATCACCTCTTTAAGATGTTGATTTAAAACTAATGCAAATTATTTTCATTGTGTCTGCTCTCTCTATATTTCTCCTTTATCAGAAAAAAATAACCTTTTGTGAAAAACTGTTTTCCTTCATATAGATGTCTGCAATACTAAATTTTATACCACTTACATTTAGTAAAGAGCTTATTAGCAATTTGAAAGAAAGAAAACACAAGGACTCCATTTGCACATGTAAAATAGTTTTGATATATTTGATAACATATAAATAATAAGTGTGTTTTTTTCATAGTGAAGGAATTTGAAGTGTATCAAAGAGGGTACTCTTTGTTTCAGGTTGCTAAAAAAGCTTAGCATTTAACTGTGTTTTTCTAAGTACCAAATACTCCACAAACAGAGAAAAAAAATATGATATTTGATGATAAAAAATCCCATCTTGTCCATTTTCCTGCCAGGTAAGGGTAATAGAGGTGTTCATAATAACGTTTTCTAATACTCATAATATATATGTGTATAATAAATACTCATAAAATTTACTCTAATTCTTTTTTTTATTTTCAAAATTCATCTATAAATGTAGGTGCAAATATTATTTTATTTTTTCTCAAGAACAATGTATTTTATAGCCATTAACAAAATGTAAATATCAGAGCATAGGCTTTTTAAAGGCACTTTCATTAGCTTACATCTTTCTTTTTATCAGTTTTGCACTTTTTTCTTAACAAAAATCCCTTTGTGTTTGATTTTTGATATATGATTGCCGGCCTTCTTTTTTTCTTTTAGCAACTTCCATTTTAAGGAAATCTGTGCATCTTAGAGGAATAAAATAAATCTATAATTCCCTTACCTCTCATATTCATTGTGGAGTATATGGTGGGGAATTCTGCAAAGCAAAGTCTTTCTGAAATTGTGGGAAATGTATATCTAGATATGAGAATGCCTTAAATAGCATTGCTTTTTGGTAAAGAGAAAAATCAAAACTTACATTGTGTGGGAGCCTGTTTTAACAGAAGAGACTGTATTTAAAGACCGCACATAACATCCAAGACCTTGATTCTAGACCAGGTCCTATTCTATAGGTAGTTCCTTAGCTTTAGCTTTAGCTGATAAAATTGATAGTACCTATTGCTGTATTTACAGTGAGCACTCAAATTTCAGCCCAGCAGATGAGATCACAGGAAAATTTTAAAAATGTATATATTTTCAATACATGGTAATCTGTGTTTTCTTTCAGTTGCAAAACTGTACACAAGGTGTATACTTTTCATATGAAGCTGTCTGAGGTGCAACTTCTGTATCTTCTTTTATATCTTTTTTATATCTTAATAGTAGATTAGGGTACTGAGAAAAGATCAAAATACTCCCCATGATAAAATGATATAAAATAAAATATGTACTGGCTCTATGTTTATTTGCCCATCTGTGCTATACTCTTTCATAATTCAGAGGGATTAATTTTACACAGAATTGAATATAGCAAGTCTAGTTCAGGATCAAAACATAGATACAATAACTAGATGTGAATTAGTGTGGGAAATATTGATATGTTCTTCAGTAAATAAGTAAATATTAATGAAAATTCAGTTCTTACATTGGACAAAGTAGAGTTTCTATTTTCTTTTTTTAAAGGTTTTTCAAAATATATGCATATGTTAAAAAACAAATACTACCATTTTAGGTTGTTTCTTTCCATAAGGATTGCTCATGTATAATAACCTCTCCATCCACTTGTCTTAACTATTCTAGCAGTAAGGACCCCTTCCCCCATCTCCTGTCTTCCTTACTCTCATTTATATTAAAACTCGTAGGTCAAGATGGCCACCAACAGAGTTTTACAACCATCAGAATTTTAACTAGCAGAAGCTATCATTTAACATGCTTTTTGACAGTTTGTTAATCTTACTTTTAATCCACTTACATAAAAAAAGGTGAAACAGGAATTGGCTCTTTTGGCCTCTATGCATAAAAGACATGGAGGGACAATGCATCTTTTGTGTTTAAATTTTGCGCTCAGATTTCTTTCTATGCCATTATTAAA